GTGGGATGACCCTTGGGAGGAGAAAGTCCCCCAAGGTCCTTGGCTTTTTTTTTTGACGATGAAATTTTTGTTTCCTTATTTGGTAGTTTTTGTTGAATGCGAGATTTTCAGGAAAGAGTTTTTTTCAACAATGTGAATTTTCTAATTAGATAAACAATGCAATTTATTATCTTTTTAGGACAATGTATTAATTCAAACACGTGATTTACTAATTAGGAAATGTTGATCCTTTCCCACATTCATACTAAGGATTAGGATTAGTAATAAAAAGGGGCTATGCGATGGGTACATATAATACCAGTGTTGTAGAAAAGTTCCTATTACACGAGACCTTTCGTCCTTATTAGGACTCATCAGGCATAAATAAGGAATTTTTCATACATCTTATCACTGGGACAGTGGGGATATATATACTTTTCTACAGAAAATAGTCAGATTATGGGATTCAATCCCTATTCCCTGATTGGTCCTATAGACAGGTTAAGGTTAGGGTCACTGCTTTGGAGGAATGAATCGAACCATATTGAAACCTTGGGCATCATTTTGATGTATAAGCTTTGCCCTTAGGGAAGCGAATTAAACCAATTTTAGTAATTAGTTCCCGGTGGTTTACTGGGATCTGGATATCGTATTGATGTGTAAGCTTCGCCCGTAGGGAAGACAAATCAAATCAATTATTTAATTTATAATTGGCTTCCAGTGGCGGTAAAAAGACTAACCTATAGAAAGGTGTCATTTATTTGTCGCCAAAGACTAACCTATAGTTAAGACTGGCATCAAAGTGCAATGATGTTACGTCAAAACTGGTTGCACTGAGCATGCATCAAGACTGGCATCAATTGTGCAATAATGTTATGTCAAGACTAGCTGCAGATGTCAAGCCTAGGTGTTGTTTGTTGAGCATACATCAAGACTGGCATCGGTTGACAAACCTAAAGATGTCGTCTATATCCAACTCACTGTTATTATAGTAGTTTTCCCACATATGCACTTGAAGTTTATTAGGGTTAGTAATAAAAAGGGGTGATGTGATGGGTACATATAATACCAGTATTGTAAAAAAGTTCCTATTACACGAGGCCTTTCGTCCTTATTAGAACTCATCAGGCGTAAATAAGGAATTTTTCATATACCTTATCACTGGGACAGTGGTGGTATATATACTTTTCTACAGAAAATAGTCAGATTATGGGATTCAATCCCTATTCCATGATTGGTCCTATCGACAGGTTAAGGTTAGGGTCCTCCACTTTGGGAGGAATGAATCGAACCATATTGAAACCTTGGGCATCATTTTGATGTGTAAGCTTTACCCTTAGGAAAGCGAATCAAACCAATTTTAGTAATTGGTTTCCAGTGGTTTACTGGAATCTGGGCCTCGTATTGATGTGTAAGCTTTATCTGTAGGGAAGACAAATCAAACCAATTATTTTAATTTATAATTGGCTCCCAGTGGTGGTAAAAAGACTAATCTATAGAAAGGTGTCGTCTATTTGTTGTCAAAGACTAACCTATAGTTAAGACTGGTATCAAAGTGCAATGATGTTACGTCAAAACTGGTTGTGCTGAGCATGTGTCAAGACTGGCATCAATTGTGCAATGATGTTACGTCAAGACTAGCTGCAGACGTCAAGCCTAGGTGTTGTTTGTTGAGCATACGTCAAGACTGGCATCAATTGTGCAACGATGTTACGTCAAGACTGGTATCGGTTGACAAACCTAAAGGTGTTGTCTATATCTGACTCATTGTGGTTATAGTAGTTTTCTCACATATGCACCTGAAGTTTATTAGGGTTAGTAATAAAAAGGGCTATGCGATAGATACATATAATACCAATGTTGTAGAAAAGTTCCTATTACATGAGGATTTCATCCTTATTAGGACTTATCAGGCATAAATAAGGAATTTTTCATACACCTTACTACTGGAACAGTGGGGTATATATACTTTTCTACAGAAAATAGTCAGATTATGGGATTCAATCCCTATTCCCTGATTGGTCCTATAGACAGATTAGGGTTAGGGTGGAAAAAGCGTACAGTTATATTTTTAACAATTCAAAGTCAAAAGGCAACGAGCTCGGTGTCGTTTAACTTGATCTACATCAACGTTCGTCCTGAACCCGTTTAAATACCT